TTTAAAAAATGACAGTTATTTTCAATTAAATCCAATATAAATTTGAGAATGACAGTTACCGGACTATAAATAAAGATACTTATTTAATAAAATATGACAGTTATTTTCGTTTGAAACCAATGAGATTTAAAAATAACAGCCAGAAGGCTCAAATAAAGATACTTATTTAAAAAAAAGTTTTTGTTTTTTTTAAAATGAAATCCAATGAATTTTGAAAATATGACAGTTACCCGACTATAAATAAAGATACTTATTTTTAAAAAATGACAGTTATTTTCAATTGAATCCGATGAGATTTGAAAATGATAGTCAGAAGACTAAAATAAAGATACTTATTTAGAAAAATGACAGTTATTTTCAATTTAATCCAATATAATTTGAAAATGACGGTTACCCGACTATAAATAAAGATACTTATTTTTAAAAATGACAGTTATTTTTCAATTGAATCCGATGAGATTTGAAAATGATAGTGTCTTGATGGACTAATGTCTTTATTCAACCTCAAATACTATGTAACTATAGTCAGAAGACTAAAATAAAGACACTTTTTTTTTAGTTTTTTTAATGGAATCCAATGAGATTTGAAAATGGCAGTCACATGACTAACATAAAAGATACTTTTTTTTTTTTAATGACAGTCATTTTCATTTGAATCCAATGAGATTTAAAAATAACAGTCAGAAGGCTAAAACAAAAACAAAAACGTAAAAAAGACAGTTTAAAAAAAAAAAATTGAATCCAATGAGATGTGAGAATAACTGTCACATGACTAAAATAAAGATACTTATTCTTTAGGTGAATGCTTTGTGAATGGAGCCGATTGCATAGTCGGCTGTCACATATTATGTATCAGTAGATGAGACAGAGATTGAGTTCCAATCAATAGGTACATTGCAAACAGAAAACACTGCAAGCGGCGGGCCGGTCACGTTACATATCGCTGATTACTTTAAAATATAAATGTAAAAACAAAACAATCGTCTCATCATCGTAATCAATATATTGCGTCATTATCAATCAATCATTGCAGTTCATAATGCGAGTGGCGAATGGCGGCATCGCTCCAAGCCGGGTCTGTTATGGTTCCCTTCAGTTTGTCTGAGATACAGGTGATGGCATTCATGACTAATGGGGTCTATTATAAAGGTTATCACACAAGATTCACCCAACTTTCACCCAGGATTTACACATTTTTTCCCAATTAAAGGCATTTTAGCAAAAAATGATTAAATGCACCTGTATTGCAGAAAAAATAAAATGCGGATCTGTTCATTTTGTTGCATTGGAGCCTGCAAGGTATGGCAACTGTGATCCATGGAACGCGAGGGCCCCTGCAGAATGTTCCCCAAGCCCATATGGAGGTATGCACCTTTATTTATGGAGCTGGAGGACGTTATCAATAACGTCTCCACACTTGTACTGCACTGAGAACTAGAAGTCCCTCTGCTGCAGTTGGAGAAGGGGAAGTGTGCGCAATGGCACCATGTTCCATGTTACCATAGAATGAAAGAACACAGCCAATGAGGAAATACCACATTGTGGCCCCTAGATGGAGATGAAGAGCATAGGGAATAAGTATTTATTATGCCCCCTAGATGGCGCTGAGGAGCATAGGGAATAAGTATTTATTATGGCCACTAGGTGGAGCTGAGGAGCATAGGGAAGAAGTATTTATTATGGCCACTAGATGGAGCTGAGGAGCATAGGGGATAAGTATTTATTATGGCCACTAGATGGAGCTGAGGAGCATAGGGGATAAGTATTATTATGACCACTAGATAGCGCTGAGGAGCATAGAGAATAAATATATGTTAGTAAGTTGCAACTGTGGAGGGAATGAGCATATAAATGTAACCATTGATACAACAGAGATGGTTACATTGATACGTTCATTCCCTCCAGCATTCTCTTAAATTGTAACATTGTATCTCCTTACTTATATGGATTTATGTGCTATGCTCATCAGTTCCATCTAGTGGCCACAATGTGGTATTTTACTATTTATTCCCTATGCTCCTCAGCTCCATCTAGTGGCCATAATGCAGTATTCACTCAGTTCTTGCTGAACCAACCTATTGAAGGGACAGAACATTCGCTCTATGGTCGCTTTGCACAGATTTAATGAAAATCCAGTTTTCTGGATTAATAGCTCTGCATTTATTTACGTATTTAATAAATACAGGCCATACAGCTACTAGGGGGCCATATAAAGAGAATGTGTAATATGCTGGGCAGTTGGTAGTTATTATATGTTCTGTAGCTCCAAGCTGTCCAGAAATAACAAGGGCATGCTGGGAGTTGCAGTTATTTATCAGCTAGATGGCTGCACATGGCCTAGCCCTGAAGTGCAGTCTTAATGGGACTTATTCTTCATAGAATTTCCCCGGAACCACAATAATGTCATTCTTTGGATTTGTACCCCATCCCTCTAGATACCAACGCCGTGTATAGGTATAAGAAGCCTAAACCCTTTTCTGCATTCAGACTTCTATCAATAAATATGTGCCGTAGAAGATGCAGATATCTGCGGGATACAAAAACCCTTTGGGGCCTATGTAGAGTGTAGAGGAGATGCGGGTATTCCCCCGGGCCCCACTATTGTTTACTTTTATGTGCCATTCATAACTACGGTGGGCAGCCTGCGGTATCCCAAGGAGTGCTTGGGGAAGAGGCTGGTCACATGACTGGCAGCCTTTCCAAAAACAAGTCAACATTTCGAGGCCCCATGCACCCGGGCCTAATGAAACTGCTGATTATGTACATAAAAATGCATAAAAATGGTACATCTGTAAAAAATAAATGAAGACAATTTGCTGTATTTTTCTTATTGACGTTTCGCTGAACCAGCAAAACGTCTTCAAGAAAAATACAGCACGTCCAGTTGCCTTCATTTATTTTTTTACAGGTATACCATGACCTGGAATGAGAACCTTCACAGATATAGGCATGAAATGGCATGTGCTCCTACATGCGTATAGATGTGAAACCTCCGTAAGGCATTTAAACGCGTACAATTCAGTGCTTTTAGCAGCCATGTGCATGTGCTCTTAGAGGTCATATCCTTGACGGGGTCTCTAAAAACATAACTTTTTGCATTTGCTGATCCTTGAGGCCAGTGCTGCCATTTGCACAATATGGGACACCGCCATCTAGTGGCCACATTGCAGAATGACAACCACCAGTTTCTGATTTGGCAACAGGACCGTTTTTTTTCAATAAGTCAAGGGTAGGCAAGCTCCGCGCCCACATTTCCCCCCCCCCTCCCCCCCCCCCGCCTCTGGGAGTCATGCCTGTGGTTGGCAGAGTCTTGCAATGCCTAATTGAATGGGTTGGAGTTTGCCTGCCCCCGCTGTAAGCGAATAAAATATAACCTCAGCGCATACATTTCCAAACTACCACAAGACCGCAACCATCGAAAGTAAACAAATATGATTTCCCAAAAACCTAAAAGAAAAAAAATCACAAGCAAGAGAGACGCGAGATATTAAGCTGAAGTTAATGGTGAATTTCAAACATACATTCTTCTAAGAAAAAAAGGTTTCATTTATGTGCTACTTCAAGTATATTATTGCAGAAGAGAGCGGACACGGAGTGCGTGAGAGAGCGGAGCGAAATACGTCTGAGAGAGACGAGAGATGAGAAGAAAACAAAATCTGAAAGATGTCTCAAATTTACTACTTATTATTTTTTTACTACATTGTAAAATAATCTGATCAACCGCAATGTGTGAACCTTAAAACTTCCTTCCAGGAGTCCTACATGTCAAACACTGCAAATAGGAGAATTAGGGCCACAGGTTTGTTTCCGGGGCCGGAGCTTGTTCTACAAAAATAGTTTCCTGCTTTTGACAAGCTTACCCCATTGCGCACACAGTCAGAGCTTCCCCCCATTGTGCACAGCCAGAGCTTAGAACCTTCTATAGATATACCATGACCCGGATGTATAAGAACCTTCTATAGATATACCATGACCCGGATGTATAAGAACCTTCTATAGATATACCATGGCCCGGATGTATAAGAACCTTCTATAGATATACCATGACCCGGATGTATAAGAACCTTCTATAGATATACCATGACCCGGATGTATAAGAACCTTCTATAGATATACCATGACCCGGATGTATAAGAACCTTCTATAGATATACCATGACCCGGATGTATAAGAACCTTCTATAGATATACCATGACCCGGATGTATAAGAACCTTCTATAGATATACCATGACCCGGATGTATAAGAACCTTCTATAGATATACCATGACCCGGATGTATAAGAACCTTCTATAGATATACCATGGCCCGGATGAATGAGAACCTTCTATAGATATACCATGGCCCGGATGAATGAGAACCTTCTATAGATATACCATGGCCCGGATGAATGAGAACCTTCTATAGATATAACATGGCCCGGATGAATGAGAACCTTCACTGACCATGTCCTTGTTTGGAGTGTAAAACTGAATATGAAACAGAAGCACCGCACTGCAAGCGAATGGTCCAGAAACAAACCAACGGCTGATGAGCTCTGTGCCTGGCACTCTCAGCTTGGTCCATATACACTGTCTCCTATCTATAAGCCCTGATGAAGGGGGCTGATGCTGGGCCCCCCAAACGCGTCAGCTTTCTTATTTGATCTTCCATCTGTTCTTATATTGGAATACACTTGAATCTGGACTGTTATCTTGCAGCACAGCGCTCCTATCTCAGATCAATGGGAATATTTTACGGGACCAGAAATAAGATGATAACATTAAACTGTTCATAAGCCGAACATCCCTATAGAATGACAAAGAAACATTGTATACTCGGTGAATGATCCGGTGAAGTGTCCATAGAGAAAGCTCTCACAGTGCAAAAAAGGCTCCTCCATGGTGATTGATTTACCTCCGAGTGCTTCCCAGTGGTTGTTC